CCTGGCCGCTGCCGCCGCCGCCGCCCGCGAGGCGGACCACGGTGACCAGACAGACAGCGAGGGGGACGAGGCCAAGGAGAAGGAGAAGGAGGACTCGGACTCGGAGACCGAGGAGCAGCTCAGCGAGGTGAGAGGGAGCTGAGGGGTGCAGAGCCCGGGGGGGTGAGAGGCAGAGGCCCAGCCACCAGGTCCTCCATGCCCTGCTCGCAGCATAGTCAGGTTCAGAGAGGGCAAGTGACCTGCCCGAGGCCACACAGCAGCGGAGCCAGGGGTCCATGTTCTTTCCCCTCTAGGCCTGGGGTGGGGGGAGGGGAAGGGCCAGGGATGCTGCAGGAGGCCCTGACCTTGCTCTGGTCCCCAGGCAGCAGACCTGGCGCACCCACAGGGCCTCCTGGGCAGCGCGGTGCACACCCTGCAGAAGGCTGTCCAGGGCACCATCTCGGCCATGCTATGGGCGCCCACCACTGTGCTGGGCACGGCAGGGAGGATGCTGCACCTCACGTCGGCCCCCGCTGCCACCTCGACCAAGAGCAGGGCCATGTCGCTGTCAGACGCCCTGAAGGGGGTCACAGACAACGTGGTGGACACGGTGGTGCACTACGTGCCGGTGAGTCACCCCCCCCAACCCTCCTCCCCTCAGGGCCTGGGCAACATGCTGACCTCCTGGGGCCCTGACAGGCCCTTCCCAGCCCCAGGAATAGAGAGACCTGGTGCCCTGGCCTGAGACCTTCCCCCACCCGCCTCCTCCCGGTCAGAATGGGGGTCCCTGTGGCCTGGCCCTCACCCCTCAGCTCCCACCTGCAGGACCTGGGGTCACCCGGTCAGTCACTCCCACCACAAGGTGTGGCAGGGCTCTTGGCAGCCAGCTGGCCTCCCTTGGGCCAGATCAGAACCAGGCAGTGTGTGGGCCGTGCTTAGCCTACAATTCAGGCCCCAGGACGGGTCAGGAAAGCCACTGGCCTCCCACTGAGAGGGCCTGGAGGAGGCCCCAGGGGTCTAGAAACTTTAGGAGGGTCTGCCTTGCCCGGGTGCAGCGCACCCCAGCCCCTGCACCTCAGGTCCTGTCCCACCCCCAGCCTGTGCCCTGCTGATGGCTGCCCCTGGGAGGCGGGGTCTCGGGGGTGGGTAAGAGGCTCAAGGCGAGACCAAACCGGGCCCTGAGGCGGCTGCCTGGTCTCAGCTCCCCAGGTTGTCCCTGATGGAGCCCGAGAGCGAATTCCGGGAAATCGAGGAGTTGAAGCGCA